TTTAATATTTTCCCATCCAGCCCCATGACAGAGAATATTTCAGTATTTTCTCATCAAGGCCCATGCCAGTCACATTTCAATGTTTTCCCATTCTGCCTTGTGCCAGTCACACAATTTTGATATTTTTCCATGCAGCTCCATGCCAGTCAATATTTCAGTATTTGCTCATTCAGCCCTGTCACAGGGACACAGCTCCATGCCAGTCAATATTTTAATATTTTCCCATCCAACCCCGTGCCAGTCACATTTCAATATTTTCCCATCCTGCCCCATGCCAATCAATATTTCAATATTTTCCCATCCAGCTTCATGCCAGCCAATATTTTAATATTTTCCCATTCTGCCCCATGCCAGCCAATATTTCAACATTTTCCCAACCAGCCCTTCTGCCAGTCAATATTTCAGTATTTTCCCATCCAGCCTCGTGCCTGTCAACATTTTAATATTTCCCCATCCAGCTCCATGCCAGTCAATATTTTGAGATTTCTCCATTTTGCCCCATGCTAGCCAATATTTCAGTATTTTCTCATCAAGCCCCATGCCAGTCAATATTTTGATATTTTCCCATTCTGCCTTGTGCCAGTCACATTTCAGTATTTCCTCATCCAGCCCCATGCCAGTCAATATTTTGATATTTTCCCATTCTGCCTTGTGCCAGTCACATTTCAGTATTTCCTCATCCAGCCCCATGCCAGCCAATATTTTGATATTTCCCCATCCAGCTCCATGCCAGTCAATATTTTAATATTTTCCCATTCTGCCTCATGCCAGTCAATATTTCAATATTTCCCCATTCTGCCCCATGCCGCCAATATTGAATATTTCCCATTCCCAGCCAGACGTGGGGGGTTTGTAGCATTCCAGGGCAGCTGGAATTTCCCCTTTTGGCACGGACACTCCGAGTTTGTTCCTCACCAGGCTGGGCCTCAGCCCCCGCAGCCCCGGTGTCCCCGGCCGGGCTCCTCCCAAACCTCTGCAGCTTTTCCATTCCAGGTGCCCACCTCGCTCCTCCTCCTCATTCCAAATTATTTTGGTTTCCCGTCCTCAAAATCCTGATCCCTCTGAACCAGCTGCTGCCCTTCACGCAGCTCCACATCCCATGGGAGTGGAAAAAACGGGATTTGGTGTCCCTGAGGAGAAGGACAAGTCCTGGCTGCTCGTTTTGAGTTCCACTCCAAAACAAAGCTGAGCTTGGGAACCCCTTTCCTCCCGCACAGCCCAGCAGTGCGGGATCAGCAGGATGGTCCGCACCACTTTCCCCAAATTCAAGCCCAAATCTCCGTGTCTGAGCTCAGCTCCGTGCTCCAGCCAGGCCTGGAGGAGCTCCGGCTTGTGCCTCAGTGAGCCGTGGAGTCCCGCAGGCGTGCGGTCCTTGGGGTCACACCCAGCGCCAGAGAGGTCCCCCTGCTCCAGGATGGTTTTTGGGGATCTTGGGGATCCCCTCACCCCAACCCGGCGGGGAGAATGACCAGTGCTGAGCTCAGAGCTGCTGCTCATTAACCAAGGAACTAATTGCTGTCCCCGCAGGAATTCCTGACAACAACAACCACCACCACAACCCCAACCCCAACCCCGACCCCAACCCAACAAACGCGGCGCCCCGCGGTCCCGGAGCCCGGAGCCGGCTGCCGAGGGGTCCCTACCTGCGGGGAGAGGCCGTTGCTGACGGGGTTCATGTGGTTGGCGGGGGCTGCGGCGTTCATGAAGCTCTCGGAGTAGCTGGAGAAGCTGTGCCGGGCGCCGTAGGCAGAGCCGGAGTCGGCGGCGGCCAGGCCGCCCTGGTGCATGGTGGAGGGCGGCAGCGGCTGCGGCCGGTGCACGGTGCTGCCGCCGTCTGCGGGACACAGGGACATCAACGGGATGGGATCACCCCGGGACACCCCCGGGACACGCCCGGGACACACCCGGGAAACCTCTGGAACATCCCTGAGACACCCCCGGGGCACACCCGG